TGATCAGTGCGTTGGAAAGCGAAACTCACTGCTGGTCATCGATCGCGCCGGCCCAGCAGTGCAGCAGGCCCGTTTGCACCAACTTCAGCAACGGTCGTTTCGCGGGCAGTGTCCTCTGCGGCCTCAACGCACTTCGCAAGTTAGCCTTTTTATGCTTTTTTTTTTTACATCTATGCACAGTGCAGAAAACACATATTGACAAAGGGTTGTCTGTGTGTGCGCTGTGCGTCTGTACCGATTTTTCATCTCGAAACCCACAAAAGCTACAGGGCTGAAACTTTGGAAACTTGGTATAGTTACGTGTTCGGCCCCCATCTCCAAAATGGGCGCTCTCACCCGTGCGGTGCCACGCGCATATCCGCCAAAGCTTTTTTGGGTAGGTTTCTAATTCGGAACCTGAAAAGTTAGAAGACTGGAATTTTAGGAGGATGTTCCTTGTCCAAGCAGGTATTAATGAGTTCAAATCCAGCCGTTGGATATGTGTGGTATCCACCTTTTTTTCGAGTAGTTTGGTAACTCGGAAACCAGGAAAGCTAGAAAGCTGAAATTTTAAAGGGATGTTTTCAGGCAGCGCTGGTGGCCAGTTTCTCTTAGCTAGAAGCATTTGCCAGGAAAACCAGTGCCGGTAGCGGCAGAAACTGCGGGGAACCATACAAAAAATGCATCTTCGCTCCGGCAGTCAGTACGCTAGCTATTTATTATTTCTGGTGACGCATTACTTTGCGCTAATAGCGCTATATCACGAGGTCCCTTTTAGTAACGCGATGCTTTCTTATTGTCACTTTTCTTGGCGCTCTTTCGGACAGCTGTATGGAGTTGTGTGGGAGAGAGAGGCGTGGAGTAGGAGAGATTGGATGAGATTGCTAGCTGTAAGAAATGCTATACACTGATCACATTATCAAAGTAAGCTATGCATTAATGTTGGAAGCACGCAGTGAAATTTGTAATGATAACATATTTATATAATACTTTGCATGTATTTTTGCTGCAGTCGTCACATTGACGAGGTCCAGTTGCAGCACTGAACAGGGATGTATGCGACTTAGTAGGCCGAAACATTCCTATTCGCGTTTTTTAATCCGATTTATCTTATTCACCCTCCTTTTATTCCTTTCTTTTTAACCCTTACTTTTTACATAAACACACATCATCTAAAATTAAAATT